GTCCCAAGACTGATCCCTGAGGAACTCCACTAGTGACCTCCCTCCAGCCTGATAGTTCCCCTTTCAGTGTGACCCATTGTACTCTCCCCTTCAACCAGTGCCTTATCCACCTTTCAGTTCTCATATCAATCCCCGTCTTCTTCCTTTGTCTAAAAAATCAGCTATCTTGTTAAATAAAGACATTAGTAACTTTGTTACCACCTCTGGAATCCAACAACTGAAACAATTGTAGAAAAATCTACAATTACTTTCTATCATTTCCGCTACTCGCTTTTTGCAGCTCACCCAGCTTGGAACAGATCATTGAACTTTAGGAAACATCCTCACAGCCCTTTCGTCTCTTAATCACCTGTTAATCACCTTGTTTATAAAAACAACGAGGAGTCCTTGTGCCACTTTAGAGATTAACAAATTTATTTGGGCATAAGCTTTCATGGGCTAAAACCCCTTCATCAGATGCATGGAGTGAAAAATACAGTAAGCAGTATATGTATTACAACACATGAAAAGATGGGAGTTGCCTTACCAAGTGGGGGGTCAGTGCTAACGAGGCCAATTCAATCAAGGTGGAAATGGCCCATTCCCAACAGTTGACAAGAAGGGGTGAGTATCAACAGAGGGAAAATTACTTTTTGTAGTGACCCAGGCCTAATTTGATGGTATCTAGTTTGCAAGTTAGTTTGCAAATTAATCCCAGTTCCGCAGTTTCTTGTTGAAGTCTTTTTTTGAAGTTTTTTTGTTGAAGAAAGGCCACTTTTAAGTCTGTTATTGCGTGTCCAGGGAGACTGAAGTGCTCTCCTACTAGTTTTTTAACGTTACAATTCTTGATGTCTGATTTGTGTCCATTTATTCTTTTGCGTAGAGACTGTCCGGTTTGGCCAAAGTACATGGCAGAGGGGCATTGCTGGCACATGATGGCATATATCACATTGGTAGATGTGTAGGAGAACAAGCCCCTGATGGCGTGGTTGATGTAGTTAGGTCCTGTGATGGTGTCCCTTGAATAGATATGCGGACAGAGTTGGCACCGGGGTTTGTTGCAAGGATAGGTTCCTGGGTCAATGTTTTTGTTGTGTGGTGTGTAGTTGCTGGTGAGTATTTGCTTCAGGTTGGGGGGCTGTCTGTAGGCGAGGACTGGCCTGTCTCCCAAGGTCTGTGAGAGTGAGGGATCGTCCTTCAGGATAGGTTGTAGATCCTCGATGATGCGCTGGAGAGGTTTTAGTTGGGGGCTGTAGTTGATGGCTAATGGCGTTCTGTTACTTTCTTTGTTGGGCCTGTCCTGTAGTAGGTGACTTCTGGATACTCTTCTGGCTCTGTCAATCTGTTTCTTCACTTCACCAGGTGGGTATTGTAGTTTTAAGAATGCTTGATAGAGATCCTGTAGGTGTTTGTCTCTGTCTGAGGGATTGGAGCAAATGCGGCTGTATCTTAGAGCTTGGCTGTAGACAATGGATCGTGTGATTTGGTCTGGATGGAAGCTGGAGGCATGTAGGTAAGTATAGCGGTCAGTTGGTTTCCGGTATAGGGTGGTGTTTGTGACCATCACTTATTTGCACTGTAGTGTCCAGGAAGTGGATCTCTTGTGTGGACTGGTCCAGGCTGAGGTTGATGGTGGGGTGGCAATTGTTGAAATCCTGGTGGAATTCCTCAAGGGCCTCCTTCCCGTGGGTCCATATAATGGAGATGTCATCAATGTAGCGCAAGTAGAGGAGGGGCGCTAGGGGACGAGAGCTGAGGAAGCGTTGTTCTAAGTCAGCCATAAAAATGTTGGCATACTGTGGGGCCATGCGGGTACTGCTATGGGTAATACCCGCCTGGTGAAGTGAAGAAACAGATTGACAGAGCCAGAAGGGTACCCAGAAGTCACCTACTACAGGACAGGCCCAACAATGAAAGTAACAGAGCGCCACTAGCCATCAACTACAGCCCCCAACTAAAACCTCTCCAGCGCATCATCGAGGATCTACGACCTATCTACAACCTGAAGGATGATCCCTCATTCTCACAGGGAGACAGGCTAGTCCTCGCTTACAGACAGCCCCCAACCTGAAGCAAATACTGCCAAAGAAAAAACCAGCCAAAATTGATCACTTGGGCAACACAGCTCTGCCTGCTGGATACCTAGGCAGAATAGGTGCATTCATGTAAATGCAGTCCAGTCCTGAAGCCCTGCCCCACCCCCCAAGCCCATCACTAGCTGTCAGGGAAGAGCCCATTCAGACCTTGCTTACAAATAATAATTTGAAATTATTAAGTTGGGCAATATCGCCGAAACAAACGCGCCGACATTGTCACAAAAAACAACAGCTGCAGCTCCTGTCCGCAGCGCCCTGGCCCTTTACGGCATAATGACCGCCTATAAAAGCCCTGGGCAAACAGCTTGTAAATGTCTCCGAGGTGTTTATGGAGAGGCTGGGCTTGTGAGATGCCATCGTGTCTGGGGTCTCACCCAGAACCACAGCACAAGTTTGAGATACAAACATACCACACATATTTATAACTCACAAAACAAAGATGACACATACATGTGGTGATCATATTTAGTGAATGATAACTTTTCCACTGATAGCTTAGACGGCATATCTGATAAGATTCATTGCAATTCTATAATAATGATGGTATCAATAATATCATAAAGTGTTTCACATATTCCATACAGCATCGCAATGATGACGATATTAATATCAGGAGGTGGGGTGGGGGTGCTAAGCAAACAGTCTGTTATTTGTGAAATACAATGTTGACAAGCCTACCTGGCAGCTGTGCGCCACATCTGCAGGGCACTGCCCGGCCGGAGGAGGAGCTTGGCAGGGAGCAGAGAGCAGCTCCCTTTAAAGGCACCAGTGGAGGTGAGCAGAGCTGGTATCTGCAGAGGACCCCGGCGGCAGGCCCAGCTGATGCGCTACCTGAGCTGTTGAGGGGAAGGACTCTGGACATTTGCAAGGTCGGAGACGTCTCCTCGGGTTTCTTCAAGTCTCTGCTTTTCCCTCTGGCTTGGTAAGGCTGGCGGGAAGCAACCCGGGGGTGGGGGAGGGTGGCACAGAGTATTCCAGGGGCAGATCTCAGTTGCCCGCCTTGGGGTCCTGCTGGAGCCCATGGGAGAGGTTGGGCCAAAGGTCCCCAGCCAGGGCTGGAGGCACACAGCCTGTCGCTGATGCAACGACTCAGGACTAGGGAGACCCACATCCCAGAGAGTCCCGACTCTGAGGTTTGGCCAGGCAATACCTGAAGCCTATTGCCGGACAGGGTAACACGTATTTATTGGACCATTTATGTACTCCAGTGGGGGTGGACACAGCCTGTGACCCAGCCGGAGAGTTAGTCACAGGAGGGGACAGACAGCACAGGGTGGGAGCGGCTACCAACAGAGGGCACCAGGACAGAGAGGGCCTGTCACGACCTCGCCAGACTACTAGGTGGGAGCTGTGGGCGCAGATCCCTTCCCCGGCCCCGATCTCAGTCACTGTGTGTCTGCAGCGACCGGTGTAGTACAGAGAGCCTGGAGCACTGGGCCTGGGGCAAGATTTGAGACTTGAACCAGAGGCTGTGAACCAAAGTCAGGCCATGGGTTAGAGCAAATGCTGACAAGTTTACTGTCCTGTATAGGTATGTGGCAAAGTTGTTGCTAGTGTCCCACACACTAGATATTAACGTAAATATAGCGTAGGTGGTACAAATACATTCAATTTACTGCAAAATAAAATGGTTGGACAAAATAAACGGGGTGTTTTGTCCAAGATCTCAGGACCCAGGGGAGGTGACAGACGAATGTGGTGACACATGGAAGGTGGGACGGAAGCTGCTTGTCTCAGTCTATTGCTCTCGGGTACCTCGCCGTCAGCCTGTGTGTGGCCCAGGGGACAGCGGCGATTCCCGTCGCTGCCTGAGCCGCTCCTTGCCACGGGGCACTCGTGTTAGTGAACCTGTAACCATGGAGCCAGGGCACTAGGACTGCGCCTTCAGGGCAATGAACCTGGCTGAGGGCCTTTGTCACCAGACCATGCTGTGGTCTTTCTTTAAAAGTAGCACTGAGGTCTTATAAATTCACATGCTGCCTTGTCTGCTGTTAGTGTTGATAACACTGGAGCTCCAAGAACAGATGCTCTGGGCTGATCTAGGTTGGCACCTTCAGGCACTGCCTTAGTGCCCTGCAGCTGGAGTTCAGGGGAAGTGGGGCAGGCGGTGTGTCTGGATCGGTCGGAGCAGAAAATGGTGGCACAGACAGTGGCTGACGTGCTGTCCCCCCGGTGCAGCGTTCCCCAGCTCTCCAGGCCGGGCTGTGCTCTGTGCCCAGCCTTGCCCAGGTTGGGATGAAGGTTCTGCCCCCGGGATCGCGCTGCCAGGCCAGAACCGCTCCCTCCCCCTCGGACGCAGTCTGTCGGCCCTGGTGTTGCTACAGACCCCTGAGCCCTGCTGCATGAGCCCGGCTTGGTCTTAAGCAACCGCAGCCCCTGGTGAAATCCCCCCAATCGTTCCTCCGCGGTGGCTGGGCTCCCAAACAGCATCGGCAGGATGGTTTATTGACCAACTACCTGGCCTCACCCCCATAGCCCTGCCAGGCGCTTATAGAGAGCAGCAGGTGCTGGTGCCCAGATCTCACTTTCCCCCCAGCTCTGCAGGAATCCAGGTGGGCACATGCCAGCCCCGCTCTGCACCCCACGGGGCGCCGGTCTCCATGGCCCAGCTCTGCCCCCAGCCCGGCTCTTCTCCCCACAGCCCCAGCTGGGCAGTGTTAGTACAGCCAGGGCCAGCACCGAGCCTGCAGCTCAAAGGGCTGCCATGGGGACCCGGGGAGCTCGGGGGGGAGGGGGGTCTGGGCAGGGCTGGGACGCTGCCCTCAGGCGACAGGCCGGGCTGGGAGCCCAGGGCAGCCTGAGCGCAGAGGGATCTGCTACCCAGGGGCTCTGAGGATGTTTGGCTCCGGCCCAGCAGCGCCCCCTCCTGGGATTGGCAGGCGGCTGTGACAGGCGCATGTCCCCACAGGACTGAGTGAGAGGAAGATGCTGCTGCTGACGCGGGTCGTGTTGCTCTCAGCGCTCTGCGCCGCGGCGCTCGGTGAGTTCGGATCCCTGATGCAGCTGAGAACTGGGGGGTGGGGGGGCGGAAATCCAGGAGTGGGAAATTAACGATGGAGTTACCCATCAAACCTGCCCCCTGCCGTGGAGACGCCCGTTGGCTTCCATCTACCATCCCTCGGTGAGGCAGGGCTGGGTTGTCCCCTGCCCGTCCATACGCAGAACCCTAGTGTTCATCGGCCCAAGGGACGAGGCCCCTGGCCCTGCCCACGGGGAGCCGATCCCAGAGTGTCTTGTCGCACACCTCCCGCCCAGGCCGTGTCCCCTGCCAGCCCAGCTCCATCCGAACTGCCCTGGGGCAACCAAGAGCCAGAAAGGGCCAGCTCCCAGCAGCAGAGGGGCAGTGAGCTGAGGCTGTGTGGGGAGGGCAGGGGAAAGGGGGCTGGGGAGGGGGAGAGCAGGGGCAGAGGTGGGGGTGGGGGAGCAGTAACAACACCAGCTGATCCCCAGCTCCCATCAAGGCCCCGTTAGCAGGTTTCGTTCTGGGAATGTCCCTGCAGCCTAGAAATCGCCCCTGGATCAGAGCAGGGCCCATCTACCCCGGTGTCCCGGCTCCGGCAGCGGCCAGTGCCAGATGCTCCAGAGAGAGGCGCCAGACACCCCCTAGTGGCTCATGATGGAATAACCCGGCTACAGGGCAATTTCCTTTCTGTTTCCACCATGGAGTGGCTGCCCCAAGCCCTGGGGCGGGAGCCCGTCCAGTCCCACGCTGGCTGTTCTCATTCTCCATAGAAACCTCTGAGCCGTTGCTGGACCCTGCTCGTGGCCCAGTGACAGCCAGTGGCAGCGAGTTCCACAGGCTGATTGTGTCCATTGAACCTTTTCTCAGGGTCGGATGTTCTGACCTTCCAGTTTCTGGGGCACTGGACTCCATCCTGGTCACCCCGACTCGGACGTTCCTGGCAGAGGGGCAGGGGGGTCAGCAGTGGGAGACCAGAAGGATCAGGGGCCTCCCGGATGCAGAGAGAGCGGAAAGGCTGCAGAGCAGAGGGGACAGGCTGGAGGGATGCAAATGACCAGAGGGGGCAGAGGAGACAGATGGGCACGAAGCCGCACACCCTGGGCAGGAGCTTCCCCAGTCCGAGCTCAGTTCAGAGCACCAGCCCCACCTGCCATCTCCAGCCCAGCCCTTGCTTGGCCTCCCTCCAGCCTGGCCTGGCTCCCCATTCGCCCCTTTGCTGCCAGGGCGGGTGCTGCTGCACGGCGAGCAGGCTCCCGGCCAGGCCTCTCTCCAGGCCTGTCACATTTAACACAGGGCTGCGCCTCCCTCCTGCGCCGTGCTGGGCCTTTGCTGGGCTGCTCCCCCCACCCTATTGCCACGGCCTCACTCAGAGCACCAGCCCTCGGCCAATCCTGCTGCGTGGGCTGGGGCAGGTGGGGGGCAGCCACATTAACCCAACTCTTTCTCCCCTCCCCCGCATGGCACAGGCTGCCCCCGCATCATCTCTCGCTCCCAGTGGAGGGCCCGGACCCCGAGAAGCAGGGACCGGCTGAGGACCCCAGTGCCCTACGTCATCATCCACCATACGGCAGGAAACCGCTGCTACACACAGGCCTCCTGTAGCGAGCAGGTCAGGGGCATCCAAAACTACCACATCAACAAGAGGGGCTGGTCTGACATCGGCTACAAGTGAGTGGGGGCAGGGTGGGGTGGGGGCCTCCCCATAGCTATGGGCAGACTTGGGGCCACTGCCCCCAAGCAGCCACATGGGGGCAGCAGAGACCACACTCAGGGGTAGAGGGGACTTGTCCGCAGAAGAGATTTGATTTTTATATTTAATATTTTTTGGCTGAAAAGGGGGAATTGGGTTGGGGTGCACCCAGAGTCTCTGCTGTGGGGGACGGGGATTTCGGGGGCATAGGGAGATTGGGAGGGAGGCTGAGGAAGTCCCTGAAGAGCGGGGGATGGATGGGAAGGGGCAGTCATGGAGCTGGTGGGGGATGGAGGGCCGCAGGGAGCCCCTGGGTTGTGCCAGGAGCTCGGCTGACAGACGCCGCACGGCCTGCGCCCTTCTTGTCTGTGACACCGCCCCGTGCTGGCGTTATCGACGCCTTTCCTTGTCGCCGGACTGACGCCCCGCAACGAAAACCTGGCCAGGGATTTTGCTCCCTGAAATGTTTTCAGATTATGACGTCAGGGGATGGAAACCCAACTGGGAATTTCCTGCGTGGCGCCAGGTCCCTGCCATGTTCTCCTGCCCCAGATCTGGGTTGGCTACAGCCCTCGCTCTCCCCCCAGCTGTATCCTGGTGGGACCTGGGCAAGGCCAGCGACGACCCTGGGGGAGCTGCCGGGAACGATGGGGAGGGGAGGCTGTGGCCGACGTGCCTGTGCGGGTCTCACACTGCGCTCTGCCTGCAGCTTCCTGATCGGCGAGGACGGCAGAGTCTACGAGGGCAGAGGCTGGAGCACCATGGGGGCCCACGCCAAGAACTGGAACTCTAAGTCACTGGGATTCAGTTTCCTTGGCACCTTCACCAGTACGTGGGTCCCGTCTGTACGGATTTCCCCAGCTAGGCCCCGAGGGGAGCTGGGAATCCCTCCTGCAGGGCTCCCGCCCACAGCCCTGGCAGCCATTTCTCCAGCCCAGGGATAATTTTTGGCTCTTTTTTGCCCCCTGGACAATTTTTCCACGTCCCCACAGCCGGACACGGGGAAAAGCCCCTCCCTGCCCCTGCCCCCCACTCCTCTGTTTGTCCCGCCCAGGATCCCATGAGCCCTGCCTGTCCCTGCATCGCCCTGGGAGCTCGGGTGTGGCTTGTGACTCCTAGATCCTGCCCAGAGCCCGGCTCTCCAGGGTGCAGCCCCCGGGCTGGAGGTGGGGCCTGCGTCCCTCGAGCTGTAACTGTCCATCGGGCTGGATAAAATGCATTTGGTTTGCCTGGGCCCAGCTCGCGCTGTAGCACGGCCCTGGCCTCACCGGGCAGAGAGCACCTGAGCTGGGCACTCACAGGGCAGCTGCAGCTGGGGACACTGGGCACCCGGTGCCCCCTCTCAGCTCAGAGCTTGGGGGCGGGGGTTGGGATTCAGCGAGAGATCTGCCCCGGGGCTAACCCAGCTGGCTTCAGCGCCATCCCGCTGGGCTCCACCATGGTCGAGCTCCCCCTGCCTGGGGCACCAGGCTGGGGCACGGGGCCAGGAAATGCAGCGGGCGGGAGGTTGCATTACCCAGCGCAATGGGGCGAGGGGGGGTGACATTGACGTGGCCAATCGAGAGCGTGGGCAGAGGGGGGTTATTTATTCAGGCCACAGTCACGTCCCCTGAGCAGCAGAGAGGGGCCGAGGGCCAGGGTGAGATTAACAGGGGGCTCCTGTGTCCTGCAGACGGAGTCCCCAACGCTGCCGCCCTGAACGCCGCCAGGAGCCTGATCCAATGCGCCATCTCCAAGGGCTTCCTGAGCCGCAGCTACACCCTGAAGGGGCATCGCAACGTGAGCCCGACCAGCTGCCCCGGGAACGACCTCTACAGGGTCATCAGCCGGTGGGCCAGGTTCAAACCCTGAGTCCCTGCAGCCTCGGGGCAGCCCCTGCGCCCATCACTGACCCCACCTGCAGCTTCTGCCTTCTCGAGCAGCACCTCCGTCCTCCAGCAGGGGGCAGCCTCCCGCTTCTCGCCCACCCGCCTGGGAAGGACCCGTCGAGTGGTTTGCAGAGTCCCACAAAGGGGTTTTTAATTCAAGTGCAATTTGCCTCTAACCCAGCGCCCCTGCGGCTTAGCGCTTGCTTTGCTTGGGAGCTTTTGAGCAGTGACAATAAACCAGCTTCTAGCACATGAAAAGTTGAAGCGCCGTGAATCATTTCATCTCCTGTTAAACCATAACCACCCCCCGCCACTGGGCTGGGCTGGGAGAGCTCAGAGGGTGAGATTATGGTCTGTCAGAGTGGCACTAAGAGGTCCCACTACACTAGGTGCTGTACACACAGAGCATGAGACAGACAGTCCCTGCCCTAAAGAGCTCACAGTCTAACTAGACACAGGATGAGAGGGGAAACTGAGGCACAGGGAGGGGAAAGGGTTTTGCCCAAGCTCCCAGGCCAGTCAGTGGCAGAGCAGGGAACACACCCCATGGCTGCAGTCCAGTGCACTGCCCACTAGACTGTGCTGCCTCTCAGTCCAACTGTAAGACAAATAAGGGAAAAAATAGAAAAGTTTAAGGGAAACAAGGGCCCCCCACTATGGGCAGAGCCGGCCCTAGACTAAACGGCGCCCCAGGTGAGCAGCGTCTTCGGCTTCATTTTTATCTAAGCTGATAGAAACTGTTTTTAGTTTAAGAATAACTGAAATGTACTCACATGAGGAAATCGATCTGTGCCCCAGTCTTGGGTGGGCCAGTATTAAATAGTGTTACTGCAGGTGGGAGCGTTAGAATGGAAACCCTCATCCTTTAGTTCCCAAGGGCATTTTTCTCGCCTCTGCCCTCGCAAACGGACGCTCAGCGTCCGAGAGATCCCAAGACTGGCCAAAGGCATTTTCCAGCGATAAAATAGCCGGCGAGGCCTGTCTCCCGTCAGCCATCGTCCATCCAAGACGTGTTGTAATGAGCCTGAGTTTCAAAAGCTGCGCCCACCACGCGCGACTGTGCCCGGCCCTGTGAGCAGAATCCTGAGAGTGTCCTGCGGCTCTGCATCATGCATGAATTGGAGAACTGGGAGGGGCGAGGTTTCAGAGTCGTAGCTGTGTTAGTCTGTGTCAGCAAAAAGAACGAGGAGTCCTTGTGGCCCCTTAGAGACTAACATTTGAGCATAAGCTTTCGTGGGCTAAAGCCCACTTCATCAGATGCATGCAGTGAAAAATACAGTAGGCAGATATAGATAGATATATTCAGAGAGCATGAAAAAAATGGGTGTTGCCATACTGACTCTAACGAGACTAATTGAATAAGGTGGGCTATTAGCAGGAGAAAAAAAACTTTTGTAGTGATAATCAGGATGGCCCATTTCAAACAGTTGACAGGAAGGTGTGAGTAACAGTAGGGAGAAAATGAGCAAGGGGAAATAGTTTAGTTTGTGTAATTACCCAGCCACTCCCAGTCTTTATTCAGGCTTAATTTAATGGTGTCCAGTTTGCAAATTAATTCCAGTTCTGCAGTTTCTCGTTGGAGTCTGTTTTTGAAGTTTTTTTGTTGAAGAATGGCCACTTTTAGGTCTGTAATAGAGTGACCGGGGAGGTTGAAGTGTCTCCGACTGGTTTTTGAATGTTATGGGTGTTGGCCAATTCAACATAGGGTCTTTATAATTGACGTCTGAACATTCCCCATGTCCAGTGTCCTGTGAATTGTTCAAGAGTGTTTTCCTGTCCGCTGGGAGCCGGGGCTTTTCAGCACCCCCCCAATAACAGCACCAGGAAACCCATAAGAGTCGGTGACGCGGCCCCTGGCAGGATGGTTGGCTGAGTCCCCGGTCGCTGGGCACAGGGTTGTGTGCTGGGGGGCTCAGACCTTTGCTGGGATAACCAGCCTCTGGGGGGAAATGCAGCCCGGCACAGACGGCTCGAATGGGACTTTCTGGCACGTCTGGTTTAAATGGGACCTAAGCAGTGCCAGGCTCTTGTGCCGGCTGTTGCCATGGTGCGGAGGGGGCAGTTTTACCCGGGTGAGCTGAGCACGTTGGGATCTTTGCCGGCCTCTCCCCAGGAGGGAATGAGTGTGGGGACGCAGTTCCCTCCTGACTCCACCAGGGGGCGATAGCCCATTGCAGGGCAGGAGCCTTTGGTGACAGCTGCTGAGCGGGTGCATGTGGCCAGGTGGGGCCCATCCGCTAACCCGCCTGATGACTTTAAACAGCCCGGCCCGGCGCT